TCAAGAAACCCAAATAGAATTGGACAAGTGTCCATTACCTGTTGGGTGCGATGTAGATATCCAAGAGGAGTTGGACAGGTGTCCATTACCAGTTGGGTTGTATTTTGATGATGCAATTCAAGAAACCCAAGAATTAGACAAGTGTCCATTGCCTGTTGGGTGGGATGTAGATATCCAAGAGGAGTTGGACAGGTGTCCATTACCTGTTGGGTGGTATTTTATGAGGAAATTCAAGAAACCCAAGAATTAGACAAGTGTCCATTGCCTGTTGGGTGGGATGTAGATATCCAAGAGGAATTGGACGGATGTCCATTACCTGTTGGGTGTTATTCTGATGAAACAATTCAAGAAACCCAAGAAGAATTGGACAAGTGTTCATTACCTGTTGGGTGGAATGTAGATATCCAAGAGGAGTTGGACAGGTGTCCATTACCTGTTGGGTTGTATTTTGATGATGCAATTTAAGAAACCCAAGAATTAGACAAGTGTCTATTGCCTGTTGGGTGGGATGCAAATATCCAAGAGGAGTTGGACAGGTGTCCATTACCTGTTGGGTTGTATTTTGATGAGGAGATTCAAGAAACCCAAATAGAATTGGACAATGTACACTTGTTCAATTGTTCTTGGGTAGTTTAATCCCTTCGTCAAAATACAACCCAACAGGTATTGGACACCTGTCCAATGCCTGTTGGATACCTTCATTCTCTCCAACATGTAATGGGCGTTTGCTTATTATTAATTGGTCATGACTCAAAAAAGTTCTCCTTAAATACTTAATTTTGTTATTCAAGAAAGGTTGAACAGAGTCTGTGATGTGTTGAGTTGTATTTTCACAATTCAGTTTTTTTCCACCTAGGTATTCATATATTTAAAAATTTGATATTTGAAATATACAGGTGTATATCCTTATTGCTAAGAACAAATTAGTTAGGTGTTACAATAAAAGAGCTATATCACAGAAATTGACAAAAAATATGGGTTCCAAAACCAAAGGTTTTCAGTCTTGTCTGAATTTACCAGCAAATATTAAATATATAATAAATTGGGAATGAATAAAAAACAATAAGAAAAAACCCAATAAAATACGGACACGATGATTAATATCCAATTAGATTTGAACAGTAACTACCCAAATAATGCTCTCTCGTGTGTACACTTTTTTTGTATCCAATAAGCAGTATCCAATAGGACTTGGACTGGATGTACCCAATATATAACCAAATGTGTGTCTGTCCGTCTAGCTGTCTGTCTGTCCGTCTGTCTGTGAACATTTTTTTAAAAATGCTACTCCTTCTACAGTTTTGGTCTGATTACAATATAACTTAACATAACATAAGTAGACTACAGTAAGATACATAATTCTGTGTATCGGTTTTCAATTTCGATGAACGGTGTTGCTATGGTTACTAAAAATAGAAATTTCTGTAAAATTCTTTCAAAATGCTACTCCTCCTTCAGTTTTGATCTGATTTCTAATTAACTTGGCACACAAGTTGACTACACTAAGATACATAATTCTGTTTATCGGTTTTTGATTCCGATAAACGGTGTTGCTATGGTTACTTAAAAAAGAAATTTCTGAAAAAATCTTTCAAAATTCTACTCCTCGTACAGTTTAGGTCTGATTTCAGTAGAACTTAGCAACACAAGTAGACTACGCTAAGATACTCAATTCTATGTATCTGATTTTGATTTTGATGAATGGTGTTGCCATGATTACTATTAATAGAAATGTCTATGAAATTATTTCAAAATGCTACTCCTCCTACAGTTTTGGACTGATTTCAATAAAACTTGGCACACAAGTAGACTACACTAAGATACACAATTCCGTTTATCGGTTTTTGATTTTGACCGTTGCCGTGGTTATAAAAATAGAAATTTCTGTGAATTTCTTACAAAATGCTACGTCTCCTACAGTTTTAGACTGATTTCAATGTAAGTTGGCACGTGCACACAAGTAGACTACACTAAGATACACAATTCTTTATATCGGTTTTTGACTTCGATAAACATTATTGTCTTGATTACTAAAAATAGAAATTTCTGTTTAATACTCTAAAAATATCATTCAAATACAGGTTTAGTCTGATTATAATATAATGTGGCATGCAAGAAGACTACACTAAGAACATAAAAAGACTTAATCAAGATTCATTATTCAATTTTCTGTTGCTGTAAAGTTTCAGTTCCCAACTGCTTTAGTATTTTTCTCTTCCTTTGCTATAAATACCAACCAGTAGAGCTTCAGTCTCGAGAAAGACTTCTGTTTTAAGGGATAAGATCAATCTAAATACGTTTGCAGCCCATCCATTTTCACGCATTGGTAAACGTATTCATCAATTTGTTTTCAGTTTTATGCTGTGTTGCTGAAAACATGCATTTCTGTGTAGATTTATTTTAAGTAAGATTTTTTCTGATCATAGCGATAAAACTTGGTATGCTTTATACTAGGGATGTTCAATAAATAATGTCATCAGCTCGATGACACACAAACATACAAATCATAAGTCTGACTTTCTCTAATTGTTGAATTCATAATGAGTTGATAACAGTTTACGTGTCCGCTTTTCGTCACAAAATTTTATTGTGAAATGCTGGAAAACAAGGGCTACTGGAGACACTGCATTTAAAATGATTCAAGAATCAGTAAACTAGAGTGAAATTAAACGCTTCATTAAAGCTGTTGTAAAACTCATTAAGAATCCCAAAAATAAATTAATTGAAATATGTTTAATTTACAGCAACCAATGCCTGTTTTATACACAAATGAGCAGATGGATTTCATAAAACAAAAATGATATACCGGTAATGGGCATCAGAAATGGGCACCGCCCTTGGCTACAAGGACATACAACATGTATATTTGCGAAATTTCAACAAACTATCACTGAATATGTTTGATTGATTTTGAGACAAATAGCAAATTTGATTGCCATCAATTTGGGGGTAGTTGATGCTGTTTTAAAGAAACAATTCTACATTGTATAATCCAAAGTTAATATTAGAACTAAAAATGATGCAGAATTTAAGAAATAAAGGTCTAGACCAAAATCTGCATAAGCTCAGGATTGAACCTACTGAAGTACGTCTGTTTATCTCTTCTGTATGTCTTCTCTATGTGCAGGAAATATTTGAAATATGGAAACTTCTTGGTTTAAGATAGAGGATAACTCTAATATTATTAGCTCACCTCAGCCGAAGGCTCAAGTGAGCTTTTCTGATCAAAATTTGTCCGTCGTCTGTCGTCTTCGGCGTCGTAAACTTTTCACATTTTCATCTTCTGCTCAAGAACCACTGGGCCAATTTCAACCAAACTTGGCACAAAGTATCCTTGGGTAAAGGGAATTAAAGTTTGTTCAAATGAAGGGCCACGCACTTTTCCAAGGTGAGATAATCATGAATTTGTTAAAAATTAATGGCATTTTTAAAAAAATCTTCTTCTCAAGAACCACTGGGCCAGGAAAGATGAAACTCATGTGGAATCATCGTTAGGTAGTTTAGATTCAAGTTTTTTAAAATCATGACCCCCGAGGCAAGGGTGGGGCAAAAATGGCCGACCCAAGTTTTACATAGGAATACATAGGAAAAATCTTTAAAATCTTCTTCTCAAGAACCACTAGGACAGGAAAGATGAAACTCATGTGGAATCATCCTCAGGTAGTGTAGATTCAAGGTTGTTCAAATCATGACCCCTGGGGCAAGGGTGGGGCCAACATGGCCGACCCAAGTTTTACATAGGAATATATAGGAAATATCTTTAAAAATCCTTCTCAATTATCACTGGGCCAGGAAAGATGAAACTCATGTGGAATCATCCTCAGGTACTGTAGATTCAAGTTTGTTCAAATCATGACCTCCGGCCCTGGGGATAAGGTGGGGCCAAAATGGCCGACCCAAGTTTTACATAGGGATATGTAGGGAAACCTTTTAAAATCTGCTTTTCAAGTATTTCAAAGCTATGATTAGTGATATTTATATGGGATCATCCTCAGGAAGTGCAGATTCTAGTTTGTTGAAATGATGAACGGAAGAGGGGGGGGGTTAGTAAATTCAAGCCCGATGTGCTCAGGTGAGCGCTGTGGCCCCTGGGCCTCTTGTTTATCTTTTATTTTATTTTTGGCAGAGTATAAGGACTTTGGTGTATTCATCTCCTAAGAATTAAACTTTTGTGTTTGTTATGTGATGTTATTTGACAACATTGAGAAATTTTTAACACTCAATGCCAAAAAAGCAGCTATAGTTAATTGTTTGAAAGGGAAGAGACGAGAAGACAGATAAAGTAGTTATTTCCTGAGATTTTTAGAAGGACAACTTTTCCTTATTCTTTAAATTTTGCATCAAAATTTAGTTTTAAAAGAATATCGTTGATATTTGTATTGACAATGAAATACATTCTATAAAAAAATGAAGGATTAAATCAAAATTTAAACCACTGCTAAACTGTTCTAATTAAATTAAGTAGTCCATACATTATTTTCATGAAATGCAATTTTAAATCATGCAAAATAGCAATTCAAATATCCATATTGAATTTAATATTTTTAAGAAAGGGGGCTTTAAGAGGCGAATACCACGTAATTACTCTTTGTGGTATTAGATATTCAGAATAGATAGATTTCTTTTGTTTGAACTGGGGTTACTCCCATATTCATGACTTTATTCCACTATTTCTACTTTTGAGAAACTCATATATATATATATACTCCGTCTTGTTAAAATATTTATATAATTGTATTATGCATCTAAGACCTACTATATTTATTATGCATCAACAAAAGAATTTCTCGTCATCTTAGAAAATAATATTGCATTCGCCACTCTAAACTTTTTTTGAAAAACACCGGTACATACATGCAGTCTATTCATTGTTTAGTTTCCGAGAATTAGAAAAAAAAATATTATTGGAATATACGAGTTCATGGAAAACCCGTTATTAAGAAAATTTGTATGTCATCAGGTAAAATATTTAATGCTAGTGGTTTAATAACTTATTGTAGAAGACAGATGGATCGGAATGTGACATTCCGATCAGTGTCAACCTGTCCCAAAGACGCTTCCACTTGGCTGAGCAACGGCATCAAGTTACAATGCCCCAATGATACACTAGGTAGGAACCTGTACCAGTGTGTACCTAATGAGAACAGATCGTCACTGGTGGAATTTTGTTCTAAAGGGAGTATTGCCAGATTTGAAGCAAGTAAGTCAAAGATATTTGTAAAAAAAAATAACATATAAATTCGAATTAAATTTTTTCCCTTTTAATCTATCAGATATCAGAGTGTATAATTGTATTATACACTACTTGTTTTAAAAAGTATTTGTTTATATGTAAATTCCCCTGTCTTTTGCAGTAACCTACAGCATTTCCACTTATGCATACTATAAATCTACATTATTCTACTGTATATCTCCTCTGTACATATCGTAGTTCTCAGTAAACTACTGTATATATCCCAAACATGGTAAAATCAACAACAGTAGGCTAATTTGACTACTGTTACGCACGGCAATCTATAGTATAGTGCAGCATTTTCCCTAACAATCCCCTGTAGGAAAGGAAGAAATACAGTATTTCGTGAATCTTTTTAGTAATTGTTTAAGTTATTTATTGCTAAAAAGTTTGAAGATCACGATATGGTTTATTAGAATTTTTTCAGTTTAACTTACAAATACAATGAAATTTCGGCAGTTTAAAGGAAAAATGATATTATAAAAATCATACCAAGCATCATCTTAGTAAAAGAGTTCTCATTCAAGACTGAATGACTCAAAATGTGAATCGACCTTTAGTACTTTGAATATTTTCCATATTTCTTTAGATATCTGCCCCTATGCTGTATCTTCAGGATACCTAGACGCCATCGACTGCTCCAGTTTTCTCAAAGGTTGTCCAAGGGAACCTTACAATACCAACGAAGTTATCAAATGTAAGACATAATCTTTTTCGGATAGAATAGAATCCTAAGTGATGAAGGGCTGCAAGTAAAAAAAAATATTCGAAATTATGTGGGTCATTATTGTTTCAGATCCAGCCTGCTTGGAAATAAATCCACAAAAACGCTGTTATTTGGCAAATGAAAACTGTTTAAATAAAACGTAAGTGAATCTATGTACTCATTTTCATTGTCTCATTAAATATTACGACGGATTGAATAAAATTGTTATGTTACTGAATGATTTTGTTTTATTCAAGGAGTCAGGAAATACAGAATTCCACAACTTTTCATCTCATGACTGACTCCTCTGCATACACTCTGTCCACAGACAGCTTCAATCCCACCTCGTTGCCACCAAACAGTACTTCTAATTTGCAGCCGGGGATTTCCTTATTGATCGCACTAGTGGTTATTTTCTTCTCTTTTTACGGCAATCTATAGTATAGTGCAGCATTTTCCTTAACAATCCCCTGTATTATTCATCGAGTAGAAAAGGAAGAAATACAGTATTTCGTGAATCTTTTTAGTAATTGTTTAAGCTATTTATTGCTAAAAAGTTTGAAGATCATGATATGGTTTATTAGAATTTTTTGAGTTTAAATTACAAATGCAATAAAATTTCGGCAGTTTAAAAGAAAATATTATAAAAATTATACCAAGCATCATCTAAGTAAAAGAGTTCTCATTCAAGACTGAATGACTCAAAATGTGAATCGACCTTTAGTACTTTGAATATTTTCCGTATTTCTTTAGATACCTGCCCTTATGCTGTATCTTCAGGATACCTAGACGCTATCAACTGCTCCACTTTTCTCAAAGGTTGTCCTAGAGAACCTTATCTTACCAACGAAGTTATCAAATGTAAGACATAATCTTTTTCGGATAGAATAGAAACCTAAGTGATGAAGGGCTGCAAGTAAAAAAAAATATTCGAAATTATATGGGTCATTATTGTTTCAGATCCAGCCTGCTTGGAAATGAATCCACAAAAACGCTGTTATTTGGCAAATGAAAACTGTTTAAATAAAACGTAAGTGAATCTATGTACTCATTTTCATTGTCTCATTAAATATTACGACGGATTGAATAAAATTGTTATGTTACTGAATGATTTTGTTTTATTCAAGGAGTCAGGAAATACAAAATTCCACAACTTTTCATCTCATGACTGACTCCTCTGCATACACTCTGTCCACAGACAGCTTCAATCCCACCTCGTTGCCACCAAACAGTACTTCTAATTTGCAGCCGGGGATTTCCTTATTGATCGCACTAGTGGTTATTTTCTTCTCTTTTTATTCGAAAAAATGTCGGTCTTGGAGCACAAGTGAGTTAATTTTATGTTTACATGTACATAATTCATATCCTTCTTTTTCTGTATCATAACAGATGCTACATGTAGTAGTCTGTCTAGCTACATTTATATGCAAAGTAAATTTAAAACATCAAACATTTCTGCCGAACGCACATTAATCTCAATAAAACCAGACTACACGTTCCTAAATATATATAAATTGACAAGACGGAGTATTTGCAATGCTCTATATTATGCAGGCCATTCCGACGTGATATGTATGTTAAATTCTAGCTGGAACAGTGCAGGTCGGTATTATTCACTTTTCTGAGATTTTTTATGTACTAAAAAAAGATACATGTTTGTGTAAAACATACAAGATACTAATTTTCTGGTCAACATTTTAAAATTAGTTTTTAGGGGAAAAAAATATACATTTTAAATTAATTTTTAGTAAAAAAAAATATATATATACATTTAAAAGTTAATTATACTAATCTTTAAAATGATATCACTGAAATCAAATTAAAACTCTACAAAGATGAACTTTAAGTGAATAAGGAAAACAGTTAACATTTATAGAATAGTTGCAGAGTACATTAGAAATATCAATTAAATGATTCTGAAAGGCTTTTTGCTTTATATATTAAGATAGGATGGATGTAAAAGAAATATATGTCAAGCCTAAACAGTAGAAAAACATATGATTTTACCGAAATTCATCTCCGCAATGAAACATTGGGTTTTACAGATGTTGTAGCAAATATTAAGCCAAAGGAGAGAGACAAAGATATCGCTGAGATCCATGTCAAAACAGAACCTAAGAAGAACATCCCTGATGTTAACGAGACAGATATAAATACTGAAATAGAGAAGAGAAAGCCTGCTGTCCAAACGACTGGTGTCAATAGTAAACCAGAAGATAGTTTAGGCAATGAAGAAGAAGGAGAGGGGCGCCCTAGTGACACGGATGTGGATGTCAGAAGTGATTCTGAAGATATCAGTGAGTTAATAAAGCAAACAGTGCAAGCACTTTTTCTTGACAATGTATGTTATAATGAATTTTTACTCATTTTATGTCTATGTTTCAAAATGGGGGATACTATTTAAAATACAAAAAAACCTAGACGTTTACATTTAACTAAAATGGAAAGTATATTTGCAAATGAACACAAATGCTAAAGTAGATTTGGGTCCAGGAGAATTATTACATTATGCCAGACAGGGTGGCGTCAATAGTAAGCTGGTAGCAGTTTATTGTGATTCGGAGGCCAGCTTTAATAGTAAACCAGGAAAAAGTTTGCATGTGGTTTAATTACTCCATGTAAACAAGCAAATTCAAAAGAAATTGTGGTCCCCTGCTTTCGTTGTTTTTGTAGGTGAGATGTCATTTTTTGTTGCATATTGTTATATTCAGGTCCTAACATGTGCCATTTAGACATTAACACCAAAGCTGAATTTACAAAAAATAAGGTCAATCGTGAAGGTCAAGGTCAAGGAGTCTAAATTCATAGCATGCTCGGAAATATCTTGTCACAGGTAATGTTCTTGTTAATTATGAAGGCCTTATCTCTATCAAAAGGGACAAGATGTGTTTGTTTAACACTGATGTCCCCGTATGTCAACGTGGCAAAGATTAAACTGTTTTAAATACAATTTAAATATATTGTTACCCAAAGTAGTGTCTTCTCACAAGAAATACGATTGTGAAATATGAAAGCCCTACATATGTAGTACAACCTGTTAAAAAGTTTCATGTATGGCCAAGGATATTTTTTTTTTGAAAAAGTAGGTCAACTCCAAGGTCAAAAGGTAAAGTTCGTTCGTTTCTATACGTTTTTATGTAGAAAGGTCATGTCACAAGGATTGCAAATGTGAAGTATGAATTCAAATTCTTCCCTTTATTGTTCAAAAGTTATGGCCAATGTTTAAGTTTTTAAAAGGTAGGTTAAACTTCAATGTCAGGGGGTCAAAGTTTTTGATATCCAATTAAATGTCTTTTCACAAGAATTGAATATATGAATTACGATACCCTTGCCATAACCCTTCAAAAGTTATGGTCAAGAAGTGCTTTCTTAAAATTTTAGTCAAACTTAATTTCAAAGGATCAAAGTTCCTGGTATTTATTATTCAAGGAAGTTACTTATCACAAGGATCACATATGTGAGTAAAAAAAAACTAGCTTTATTTTTACTGTTCAAAAATTATGGCCAAGGTTAAAGTTTCAAAAAAAAGGTTAAAAAACCATGGCAAAGGTCAGAGCGTCAACGTTTCTGATATCCAATGAAATGTCTTGTAACAGGGATTATAAATGTGGGGATTGAAAGCCCTAACCCTTCAACAGTTATGGCAAACGCTATTCTTTTTTAATAGTAGGTCAAACTCTTAGGTCGAAGCCATATGGTCAGAATTCTTGTTATCAAATGAAATGTTTTGTCACAAGGAGTACATATAGGAAGTATGAAAGTACTGTTCAAAAAGTTATGGCCAAGGTCAGAGTTTTTTTAAAAGAAGGTCAAACTCCAAGGTCAAGTTCAGAATATAATAGGGTCAAAGTTCATGTTACGTGTATCAAATGCTTAAATTGCTAAAATTACTGTTGATACGGTATGTGGAATATGAAAGCCCTAGTCCTTACATTTTAAAAAGTATGGTAAAGTTTAATTTTTTTTTATAAATTCGGAAATCTCTAAGGTCAAGGTCAACGCTCTTGATTTTTAAAGATACCCCAAAAAGGTCTTGTCACAAGGAATACACATTTGAAATATGAAAGTTATAGCTCCACTAAATTAAATTCATAGGCAAGGTTAAAGTTTTTGGTGACGAACGGATAGCTAGACAGACTGAAAAACTGCACGGACTGAGAAACGAATAAGATTAAATGTCCCATCGCTTTCGCGAAAGTAGGAACAAAAATACCAAGAGGAGATTTCTATGGTTTGAAGAAAACTGATACTAATAGTGCACCAGACATTTTATACTTGAAAAATATGAATATTTGCATTTTAATTCAAAACAATAAAATGAGCCAAAGGAAAATATACATGTACAACAAATGTTGTTTTCAATGTCGCAGGTAAATTTTACAGAAACAAATTATATGTACACTTATACATGAAGGATATGGAGATAACGAACAGTATTCCCCCACGATATCCGTACATTGGAAACCCACTAGCATTGAGACTTTGCAAAGTACATATTGTTATGCCCCTTGAATTTGGGGGCAATGAAAATGACCTCAACTTGACTTTTCAATTTGCAACATTGATTTTTATCACACCACACTCAAAAATCGCTTAAATAATACAAGGTTTAAACTGAAAACTTAAAATTTTATATTATTCTGATTATGCGTTTCTTTTTTTGTTCAGTATATACCCAGGTACATCATTTTTTCTGCAGATAAGAAATGTATACCATGCATACCAGTCAGAGGAATGTTATAGATTCTAGACTGGTGTAGAACCCTGATCACAAAACGATGGAAAGAAAAAAGAGAAGAAAGCATAATTTAAAGTGAATTATTCAAAATGATAATTAAAATCAATCAATTTTATACTATTTGTGTAGGAATTAACCTTCAATATTTATTTATTTATCGCAGAATGTTTGTTTGATACGTACAATCAGGAGTGCTAATTACAGTTTACTGTTGAAAATGAGAGAGATAGAGAGAGAAAGAGAGATAGAGAGAATTTAATTTTAGCACTCTGTTTATATGTAATAATAGTAGACTCCTAATCGATATTATATTTCAATAAAAAAAAATTGCCGTGCAACACATATTCATAATGATAGTTAAGTGTATCGCAGGTTTGGGGGGTGGGGGGCTGTCGTTGGCCCAAAAGCGGGTCCAGGACGATGCCCTGATAGGGGCTAAGGGGCAAGTACCCAGAAGTTCTTTGGGTTTTCTTTCCTGATACGAATATTTATTTCCTTGCAAAAAATGCCATATCGTTTTCCGGTAGAAATGATATCAAACAAAAATTGAACCGGAACAATATGACACAAAATAATTTTAAATTGTTTATACATTTAAGCACAATATTTTTGTGGATGGTAATGTGATATTTTAACTCCAAATATCTTTCTATCTTCATTTTTTTTCTTAAAAAAATTATGCGTACGCACATACATATATTACGACAGCTAATTATGAGCTTTGTTCCTGCATTTCTGCTGTTCTACTCAATCAAGTACAGCATTTCTATTGTATTGCAAAGTAATTTTTATCAATCAATTTTGATAATCAATGCTATTTTTTTTCTTACCATTCTGTCTTTGCTGCATACATGCATATTTGTTTGTTTCTACTGTATATATTCTCAAGCATTCAACATCGAAAATAAGCTGAAAAAAGTCTTCTTCTTTAGCGTCATTCTCCAGATTATGTGTGGGCCCGCTAGTGCCGAGAAAAGGCGGGAGCGCAATTTCTTCTAAACTTGAAGTCCAATTTGGTGCGATGCCCTCGCTTTCTTCCACATCACTACTGCTAATAGACTCTGAGTCATAATCAAACGGAATTTCGTCACTGTCAGCCTCTCCTTCGTCTGAACTTTGGTCAGAATTATAAAGACTCCGAAAAATATCGGAATTTGCTATTGGAGACGTAATTGTCATATTTCTTTCATATTCACAAATTCAATAATATTGCGTCATCAATACTCAATAATGACGTAAAAATTCGATTATGACGTAATATTTTATTATAACTTTTTTTAATTTTTAGAAATATTAAAAAGTATAAAATAGAAGAAAATCGGTATTAAACTGAAGATTAAACGCACTTTTGAAAGTGCGTTAAAAGTGCGTGATTGCGGGGAAACGGTAAATGCGTGATTTTGCGTCAGAAATAGGAAACGGTATATGCGTTAAAATGCGTGACTGCGGGGAAGGGGGTTAAATTAGTGATTACTTCGATTTTTTTCTAACTCAAGACATATAATCACAATGACACAGTTAAAAAAAAACACAAAGGCTTTTAGAAAAGATTCGGATTCCTTGTGCAAAAAAACAGATTAAGCATATTGATGACGTTAAATGCCTCCATTCTGTGTCTAAGCAATCTATAATTATTTCAACTACTGTTTTTGTATTAAATCCAGTGTGCATATATTTTTTAAGATAAAAAATCAAGTATTAATCTCATTTTTGTCTTTTAAGTCCCTGTTGCTCAATTTTTAAATTATCTAACATTATAGACTGTATGTACATACTGATTCATTTATTTTTAAAAAATATATTAACACAAGACATAATCTTAACTAATAACAAGGATTTGAAATGAGTAATGGCCATAAATAGGAATACTGTAGAATTACAACATGCTGGAAACACAATATAAAAAAGACAAAAATGTACACAATCTTTAATTTTGACTTTCTGTTTTAGGTATATATCATCAATAAAATTTTTTTAAAATGTTATTGGTTTTGCTGATTGCTTTCATCAATCAACATATTTTATCTAAAAGTTTGTGGACCAGCGCTATAAAATTAAAACTGTTTTAGGTATATTAATTAAAACTGTTTTGGGTACATGTTTAAATCTAAATAATATTTTTTTAAAAATAAATTGATAAAGTTTTTGCCATGGTTACTCCAGGCAGTGCAACCTCCAACATTTTCTACCGTAGTGTAATGTGAAAGACTATTTTGTTATGAGCATTTGTCATCCTGAAATTTCGTAAATTCGGCCTTGTGGTATGATATAACTCTTCCAGAAATTTTTCAATTTTTACCTCATACTATAAGTTCCACAAGATTCCGTCCTATTTTTTGCTGACCGACATTAAGGGTTTAAAACTGGAGTGAACATGGGGGAGAAGTTTCTTTTTCAAACACTCTATAACGTTTATAAATAGCTCTTGAAAATCATGGATTTTAACTTAACTAAATTTAATCCCTACCAAATAAATCTTGTTCAGTGGACGTACACTGAGAAACATCGGACGTCGTAAATTCAAAAGCAGCAGCGCTAAGTGATAATATAAAGTCTTCTTAACTAATACATTATATGGCGGAATAATGAATCAGGCTAACATTCTAAACATTTTGTTGTTTTCTTACAATCCTTATCAATCTTTAAAGCTCAGAATGTGTAATATTAGTTTCATCACACTAGGTAACGAGCCTATTGATACCCACATGTCTATAACTGTACTGTAACATATTTTACCATAATTTCATATCTGCAACCTAAATTGAATAACAAAAAATGAAACCTAATAAACACGGTGGATCATCATTTTTGGGAGAGGGAGCATTGTTCGTTGAATTTAAGGGTAGCCTTATCCACGAATTAACATTCCTACAAACGATTATTTTCTTTATGTATTATATCACTGTATTAATCGTTGTAAGTCATGAAATCACGTTCCGACGAAGTAATAAAATTTTGCATACACACGATAATTGTAATAAAATGATTTCACAGTATATAAAAAATGTAAGTATAAAAATAATTGTGTATATCAATTTTTAAAACTATTTAGTGTAAAATCTGAGGGAATTATAAGGGGTACAGGAAATTCTGATTGATTGCATATTGCGAATTTTTCACCTACATGGAGACGGCACCACTTGCCGGTGGGGGGCTGTAAATTTTGTCATATACTCAACACTCAACTCATTCAACAGGGAGGGGTCTTTTTCGTGCCGGCACCTACAGCGATACGGAACCTCGGTTTTTACAGTCCAATCCGAAGGACCGGTCTCCATGTTTCATAGTTGGATTAGAAACCGCAAAGTAAGAAATTGACTCCTTACTTT